ACACACTCCCAATCTTTACAACGTTGTTTACGAGAGACTTGTGGACGATAAATCCGACACCTCCTTGGGACATATAGTCGTCCTCCCTGTGGTAGAACAAGTTGCTGGACTCGAGGATTGCCGTATCCTCCCCCTCTCTTCGGACCTCGGATAATCCAATAATATGCCAGCGCAACTTGTCTACCTCTTCTTCCAGCTCCAGTATCTTCTCGTCAGTCCTCAGAGTGCGTGCGTTATATGTTGCCAGGTCGAGTCGTCGTAGGTGGCAACCGAACCTCCACCGGAGATTCTTAGCACCCCCTGCCCCGCCGTTACCATGGTCGCCACCGTAGCCAGGAATAGCGGGGCCGCCGGGGACTGGGGGCCGTTTTTTTGCGTCGTTATTCATGGGGGGATATTTGCCATAGTTGCCACGCTTGGCGAGCGGGTTGGCAACCGCAGTTTTTTATTATAACACAGTTGTTATCAGAAAGATGCTGCTGCCCATCTCCTGCCTGTTTCCCTCTGTCGCCTCTTACGACACCCACGGGAAGATATGGGGTAGTGGATATTCTCAACCGCCACTACACGGCAGTGTAGTGTCAATATATAATAAAGTATATAAAATCAATTGCTGTCCATTCGTTTTGTTAAAACCTGAAAACCGTTCAAACAGTTTTGATTAATTTTTTGTGTGTATTTGAGTGGATCCCTGGATGATTTAAAAACTTAATTGAACTCGGTAAGTGACGCTGTTATCGTGATCGAGAAAAGACCCTTGCAAAGCCTGGGCGGATCACTAGTAAAGTATATAAATAAATTTAAAAAGTATAGTGGTATGTTAATTAGTAATAAAATGAAAGCACACTTAGTCTCAAGGTTGACTTATGGTTTATGGTATTATAACTATTACAGCCCTTCACAAATCCACTGCTGAATGTAAGCCTCCCAAAGAATGCCACAAACTATGTTTTTTCTCAGGTTTGCTGTAGGTGCCACACTAGTCAAGCAGGTTGGAAACTTTTGACTTTGTAGCCCTCTGTCACCTCTTACGACACCCACAATGTGATGTGGGGAAGTAGATTTTTCTATGAAAGATCATATTGAAGCTATGATGTTTTGGTCAGTCAGTTGTTGGCTTTTTCAGTTATAAGATCTGGCTAGCTCTTCTCCGCGGTATATCTTCCTCCTGAACTATGATATCATTTTGGTTCATACCTAAAAATTAGAAAAGATACCAAGCTAAGGAGCAAAACTATGTATATTCTTGCTCTTCATGAACATATTCCTTTGTCATGTCCGTAACACATTTGGCCAGACTGAGGTGGTTACTCAGTGGATGGATGGATGCAGAGATTTCCTCCCCTCCTGACCAATGCAGCCAAGGTTGAGTGACAGGGTAAGAAGAGTGTTTGTGCATCAGATTTTCTGTAAGGTCTTTTTCTTCTTTGTAAGAGTCCGCAAGTCAATAAAACAGTTACATGTTGAATAGTTATTAACTAAATTATAACACGCGTGGGGCGCACGGGCAAGCTAAGATCAATTAAGATTGTATTAATACGACATCCGCGCTCCGACACTGTCTACAGTGTAGAGGTTGTTCTCTCTACTCCATCTACATTTGTACATTAGTGACGGTGTTGACTCTACATGTCACTAACGATCATTGAAGAACACTAACAGCAACTATCTAACTATCGGAAGTGGCAAGATTATAGTGCAATAGTATGTGCGCAAGGCGCATTTTCTATTCCCTCAGTTCGATGGGACAGCAATTCAGCCAGACCGGAGAGAGATCAAGGCAGGACCAATGGTTTCATGTGAAACACTGCCAATTTTCTGACGCTGGGCTGTTACAGAGAATTTGTTTTAAATCCACTAATATGTGAACTGAGTAACACTAAGTGCTACTCCAGTTATTGTTAGCGGAATGTTCATGTCCTCGAAATATAGATGGTTATTGCTTGCTTAGGATATTGCTCTTCACTGCCGAGCATGTGAAAAATTATTTAAAATGGAAATTTACGTCATTGGTCCAAATGGGGATAAATCTTGATTTTCTCGCGCTCGCTTACATTATTACATATTTTAATACAAGGAATGTTAATAATATGTAAGTACAGTGAATTTCAAACTCGTAAATTGTAAGAAACATCATAACTTACAAATTGTTTTTTTTTTTTGTAATAATCTACTATCAGTAAAAGATAATAAAAAAATTTAATTAAAAAGTCAAATATTATCAATTAAATACTAAATATATTTATATTGTATGTTTCTGGAATTTTGGTCCTTTGAACCGGATTTTAAGTTATTGATTACCAGGATTTACTTGAGTGTAATTTAAGTTTAATCATACGCAGATCTTTCTTGACTATAAGTTCACTATGTGTTTACTATATGAATCATTATCAGAGTGTGCATCTCTTTGAATACTTGCTGAATACCAGTGTGCTGAGAGAACTGAAACAGATGGGCAGCGGCATCTTCCTGATAACAAGTCACTAATAATAAAAAGTGGCAGTTACCAACCCGCCTGTCAAGCGTGGCAACTGTGGCAAATGTCAGTGGTGGACTTGTGGTGGGCTGTAGTGAATTTATAAAACTAAATAATAAATCGCCTAGTGCAAAAGATTATGCCAGGCGATAGACTGTCTCATCACTTACAATGATAATGATTTTCTTCATCTTTTTTTCGTCTCGTGAAAATCCACCGCTGGGCATAGCACTGTGGGAAAGCCGGCAGGTGGATTAATGCGCTACTCCTAGCGAACGACCTTGAGTATTCGGGCCGCCTATGCTTATACACTCCATGCGCTCTCGCCACAATATATTGCGTAAGAAATATTCAAAAATTTTAAAATATTTTTTTTATAAAATCGAATTTTAGTCCTTTGAAAAAAATAAATAGACCAAAATGTTCATTTAACTGCCTATCCATTAGTGTTAATCGCAAACTATAAACATGCTTGCTTTGTGAGGAGATGTGTGTTATCAATAATTATTTCGCATTTCTCTGGTTTAGTTGTACGAAGATTCATCAAGTATTTAGTTCCTTAAAAAAAATTAAATTAGCTGTTATGGAATTAAGATTATGTAGAAATGTAATAGATTTTTTATTAGTTGATATATATTTTTAATAACAAGTAGATAGCTCGTAAAAACCTCACAAATAACGACTAGCGCGGCATTTTGCTCAAACACGCACCCAGGGGTATGAAAGTACTCAGTAGCTTGCTTTAACGTTTGATACTAACGCAATCTCACAGTCACTAAAAACACTATTTTCCCCACTAATTGTACTCAAAAGATCGCTTGCTGACTTTTTTCATTTATACTGATGTCTAAATCACGCCATCAAAGTGTTAAAATACTACGGTATATATGTAAAATAAATTTCAATATTTTCATTGTGTTACAAACTATGGTTTCTTAAAAGCAGCTATATGATAATTTATATAACACCAATTAGTTTATATTAATAACGATATACGTAAATACTAAAGCAAGTATCAAGTGCCCCTAGTGTATTTTTCGGTAATTTATGATCCCAACGCCATCTATGACAACGCAGAAGAAACTTCTCTCGTTTCATCACCTAATAATTTGTCAGAGTGGCTCATCTATGCCCTATATAGTATATTATCTATGCAAGTACCTTAACGATCCGCAACCAAACGTCACGCACCCTTGACGGTGACGCTGCTGCCAGTCGCCGGTTTGTGTAAGAACGTCTGGTGTAAACGAAATGGTTTTACTGCCATCTATCGGAAGCTATTTGGTTTTTAGACATTTCCATTGCTCTTATGAAAGTTACGAAACCTACTAAACGAAATGAGGTGATTTATTTTCTTACGTCGTCACCACACTACTTGAATCATTGACTTTCAAAGTGTGGGGCGCGCCCCACTAGCGAGGCGCGAAGACATCTACAGGAGGGCGCTGTTTTTTTTTTTTTTTTTTGCGCCCGAAGCAATTAAAGGGCTACCCTATACGTAGGGAGGCGGAAAATGCATTACGCATACCACGATAGCCGGTCTATCGTGGTTATGAGGGGCTCACTGTCCTACCGGGGACCCTAAGTGATACCCTCTAAAAACCGCCTTTGGGGACAGGCAACCGGCTGATTAAGCTCTATTGTGCCTTATCATGAGCGACCCTCTTTTGGGAAAAGAGGGCGCAGGCGGCTAAGTGCCGCTGAGGGAGTGCCTACGAAGGCAAATTAATGTTAGATATTACAATAATTTTATTTAATTAGAGTTGGCCTGAGCCGCCAGGAGACAGTTCAGGTCGTTTGAAAGTTTATTAGGCGGGTCCGAGAGAGAGTTTCTCGGCCTGCGGACACGATAGCGAGAGGGGGGTGGGGCTGCATAAGAAGCTGCCTCACGAATTAAATGGTTTGGGTGCGACTCTGAGGCTTTGAAGAAGTTCTCAGAGAGTTTTTTAAAAAATTGTTGAATTGTTGGGAGCTCTAAGTCCCGATGAAGGTCGGCATTACGGACGTACCACGGTGCGTTCGCAGCTCGACGACAGAAGAGGTTCTGAACTATTTGGAGTTCATTTAAAATGTTAGGGTTTGCGTGGGCAAAGACGGGGCCCGCGTAGGAGGGGGGGCGGTTGCGGGCGGTGGTTATCACTGCGGTCACTCTGCGCATACGTATCGCACGCTCCTCACTCCCAGCGCCGCTCGCGCCTTGCAAACACGTGTACTTTTGTTTCAAAGCGACTTGATATTGTGTGTTATTAGAGTTAGAGAGTAGTGACAGTGAACGGTTATTTCTTTTGTTTCACCATGAGCTCAGCCAAAAAACGCAAGTATAATGATGATTATATTAAATACGGTTTTGTTTCTATGAATAAAAGTGGTATCGACCAGCCGCAGTGTGTTATTTGTTATGAAGTATTGAGCAATGATGCCATGAGACCTTCGCGTCTGGAACGACATTTGTCAACAAAACACAGCGCTTTAAAAGACAAGCCGAAGGAGTTTTTTTGCTTCAAAATCTGCAAGTTTGAAGCGCATGAAATTGGATAAAAGCCATACTATCGGAGAAACACGCGTCAAATCCTACTTACTGAAAGCAGCTGATATCGTTCTTGGACCAGAAACTAAACAAAAATTTTCACAAATACCTCTTTCTGACAACACTATTAAACGTCGCATTGATGATATGGCTGAAGATATAAAAAATCAGGTAGTTGAGGCCGTGAAAGAATCATGTTTTTTTTTGCAATACAGTTGGATGAGTACAGATGTTGCGCAATGTTGTCAACTGTTAGTTTTTGTCCGATACATACAAAACGAAACAATTAAAGACGAATTGCTGTTTTCAACAGAGTTAACGACAACTTCGAAAGCAATTGATATAATGACAGCAATCTCTGAATTCTTTGATAAACATGAACTGTCATGGAAAAAGTTGATAGGCGTATGCACAGACGGCGCTCCGGCAATGCTTGGATCTCGTTCAGGATTCGTACAGTTGGTCAAAGAAAAAAATCCCAACGTAATTACCATTCACTGTTTTATACACCGTCAAGCCTTGGCAGCTAAAACACTTCCAAACGAACTCTATGACGTCTTAAAATTATGCATTAAAATTGTTAATTATATTAAAAAGAGTGCATTAAACACGCGGCTTTTTGCGGCTCTCTGTGAAGATTTGGGCACAGAACACAAGACATTGTTATTTCATACAGAAGTGCGCTGGCTTTCAAAAGGAAATATGTTGACAAGATTGTTTGAACTGCGAGATGAAGTAATTCAGTTTCTAGACATTCAAAAACAAACTGAATTGTTTGTGGAATTTAAAACACCATGGGTCCAAGTAATATTTGCTTATTTATCAGATATTTTTGATTCATTGAACACTTTAAACTTGAAATTACAAGGTGGAGACTCGAACATAATTCATCATCGGGATGCTATCACAGCATACACTGAGAAGTTGCAACTGTGGAAACGCAAAATTTTGGCGTCTAACTATTCCTTCTTTCCTAAATTACTTGCGATCACAGAAGAAGCATGTTTTAAGGAGATTTTGGATGTAATTGATACCAAGAATCAAATATCAAACCATTTGCAACACCTCACGGACGAATTCAAGCGCTACTTTCCCGACTCGTGCAACAATATTATGTACCGATTAGCGACCGATCCTTTTCACGTCGACATAGACATGCTGCCAGATACATTACAAGAGCAAGCATTAGAAATCAAAAATGATTCTGCTGCCCAATATGATTTTGAGAAGATGGATAAGGCACTATTTTGGATTAAATATCTCAAAGTTTATCCCAGCACAGCAGAGCAGGCACTAAAATTATTTCTACTTTTTCAAGCACTTATTTGTGCGAAAAAGCATTTTCAGCAGTTGTAGCAATAAAAAAAAGTATAGAAGCAAATTAGATATTGCTAGTGATCTACGTTGTGCATTTTCTTCTACTGAACCCAGAATTGGAAATCTTGTGAAAACTATGCAAGCTCATCCGTCACATTGATTCTTCTTAATCTGAAGTGTGTAAAAGCCATATTTTTTTAATAAATAAAACATCTGAAAATGTATTTGTGGACTTTATTTTACTATACAACGTACAAAATATTCTTCTTACTTTTTGACGAAAAATATAACATGGTTTAAAAACTATTGGAATCGATTCTGTAACGGATTCCGAACAAACTACTTTCAGGTTTCGCATCAAGTAGGAATAACCTTGTATACTCGTATTATACCCTTATTTTATAAAAAAAAATATTTTACAATTGCTTGGCGAGCCCACTTCCTGCTACTTGCTGGGCCCTGGGCCGAGGGGGAGGCGTGGGCATATTAATTTTAAGCTGTAGGGAGGCGTGATACTTATAAGTTTGGATACCCCTGGCTTAAATAATCACAATAATAGTAAAATTAAAATGTAACATATTGACATAGTAATGTTTATTTGTATGCTAGTTTTTAGAAATACTTATTTCGCATAGAATTTTTTATGAGTTAAGAAGGGGTGGGTTATTCTTTTTATCCACCCTAGGGTGGAGGATACTCGGAATTGCGTATTCATTTATCCAACCCGGACAGGATGGATAATCAGAATACTTATTTTATTTTTCTTTCGATTTTCTCCCTTGGCTGTTTACAGTCGTTTATAAAAACATGCCCAAGATTACTTATTAGACATTGGTGAAAACTGAAATAATTTTAATTGTTCTATTACATGTACTTCGATGTGATATAATTTACGTCTTTTTGGAGATATGATAAAATAAATATTGTACTGCAATTGGTTTCAATTATATGTAATTGTAGTAGGTATTATTTAAATTAAATAAATATATTGTCAATTATATAAACACAGTATTGGAAATAATACGGTATTTAACAAATTTTAAAATGTCTTTTATTGAGAGACGAATTTATACAGGATATACAATTACGTCTACTCAATAATGAAATTACTGTTGGTAATTTCCTGGACATATTGCAGAATTTATAAGTTACTTATTATTATTTAAAACAAGGAAGTTTAATTTCGTTTGAAAGCAATACGTAACATAATTTTTGTTTAAGTTTTTGGTTATTAAAAATTAATAAATAATATATTAAAGTATAAACAGATTTTCCGTTGAACTGTACTTGGGGTGGAAAAACGGAACAACAACCAAAAAGTGAATTCCGATTATCCACCCCGTCTAGGGTAGATAAACGGAATAACCCGAAGGGGTGATGAATTCCCTTTGTCGTAATCGCTTCTTACCCTTTTGCCCCAGATGGAGATTATAAGTATTTATACAATGTGTCCAGTCATCGGTGTCGGAGATTTTGGGGGCTTGAAATACATATAGTAAATTTTATCGATAAATCACTATTTCTATTTTTTTTCTCGCTCTTTATGTTGAAATGGCAGCCATTTTGTTTTTATTACCTCGAGGCATGGGTGCTTGTCATAGAGAATATAACCACTAGAGAGCGTATAGGCAGATTTCTTCTAAGCATACGACTCACTACTGCGGGCCGGGGGACGAGGAAGAACGCGTGGCTGCAAATGGTCAAGTTACGTTGTTATGGCTATCTTTAGGGTTGCTCTTCTTAATAAAGGAAAATATTCGTTATCGATAAAATGGATTTTATCATTATGAAAAATACTCAATTAAAATTATAGAAATAATATTTAATCAAAATCAATCAGTTACAACGAAAAATTTTGTTTATTATATTATTATTGATTTTTAAAATGAATTAATTTGTTATATTTATTTCGAATTAAAGTTTAAGGGTCCTGATTGTTCTTTGTAAAAAAATTTAAACAAGCGTCTACATATTTGTAAATTACGCATCTTGCTAATTAAATTAAATGATTTGTTGATTCTATTTCAAATTGATGAAAATGAATATACGGGAATCAATAATACCTAATCAAAGACTTTAAAAACCGTTCTCATAAAATAATTGGTACTATATTTCGAAGACAGCACTTTTGAACCACTCTCACTGCTCGCTCTCTTATTAAAAATTTTACAACGACGACAAATATATATTACTGTAGTGGATCCGTACAATAACTTGTTTTTAGTGTCCTTTTGAAATTGTAAGCCGTTCTGATTTGGTACACCAATCTAACTAATTTAACTAGGTAACTATAAATTTTAACTAAGAAAAAATACCGACAAACTGAGAACCTCCTCTTTTTTCTGGAGACGGTTAAAGGTAGATAAGTATTTTTTCACAGTGTGTGAATTGAATAATCTTTTTATTAATTTTTATTTTACTATTTTCGATATCGACTTTGAGCTATTAAAGGTAACAGTAAGTCCTAATGTTTACGATAAACATACAAAGGGAAAGAAAGGGATAGAAGCATTAGAATTGTCTAATATAGAACGAGACTTTTCCAAAAGACATCAACGCGCGATTCAACCATGTCGTTATTTCACCGGCCACCGTTTTAGATAGACCCCTACAATGGCTCATAATTTGAATAAATCAACAATAATTTTCGTATTTTTTACTTAGCAATGAAAAGTTACTACATTCTTTTTGGACATCTGTCCTGGAATGTTTTCCACACCACTTCACCGCGCATTTTGATGCATTATAATTGCATAAAAGTTATAAAAATTTGCATTAATTTAGCGTGCACACAGGTCTAACACTTGGACAATACTAAAATGGTTAATAGTACCATAGCCGATGCATAGGCGACAAAATACTAATAGTTTTCGAGCGTCGGGGCACTGTATGCGCAGTCAAGTGGTTATATAGTCTTTGGTGCTTGTACTGACCAATTTTTTTAATTAAGCCATAACTACCCATGTAGAAGTCCTAGGTAAACGAAAGAAGACTAGTTAATGTCTAATAATGTAGAAAATAAATCAAAAATAACAATTTTGCCGTTTTTTTTTATAAAAGAGCAAAAGAGAATTTTTAAACAAACAAGTTTTTTTACATTGTTTTAAAATTATTAGCTTTTTCATAAAATCTAAACCATCAAGCTAGATGTTTTTTATTGTTAAACGTTACTACAGAATGTGTGCTTAAAAGTAATTCTTACATCTTAGCCCTAAGTAAGATAGTTTAGAATTATGAAAATAGCTCAGAATTGGAATGGTAATGTAAGAATATTAAAAAAAAAAAACATGGTTTATAATTTTTTTTTTCAAATTTCATGGTTAATTATTATTTCTAAAAGATGTTCGCGCAATCATTATGACTACATCTCTTTATTGTTAAATTAATTATTCTTTTGTGTTATTTCCAGATGAAAAATGGAGGAACCAGTGGACATAGAAGTGTCCGTAAACGTGGAGGTGCCCGACAAAGCGGATTTGGCAATGAAATTGGAAGAAACGGTCAAAACAGAGGAGCCGGTTAAATCAGAATCGGAAACCACTACATCACAACCACTAAAATTCATAAGCGTTACCAGTTCGGTCCTCACAGATGAACAGCGAGAAATGTACGAGTCAGTTCTCGCCACATGGAAGCCTGTCATGTTTCCCAAACGGATGAAACGTTATATTTGTGAGAAATGTAACAAGGAATTCAAAAACTACCAGAATCTCTATCTTCATACCACGAGGGTTCACTCCTCCGAAGATTCGGCTGTCATTTGTGATATTTGCGTGAAAACGTTCAAAAATAAACATTATTTGTACATGCATAGAATGAATAAACATTATTCTGAATCCGAAAAATGTTACTGTCAGTTCTGCCTCCAAGAATTTCGTACTAGAAGAGCGCTCCACATGCATGTAAAACGCGCCCACCCTAACACTCTGCCCGAAATCAAGTGCGAACAATGTGGCAAGGAGTTTAGTGTACCCTACAAGCTTCGATACCACATTGACGCCTGCCACCGCGACGATAAAGAAAAATATAAATGTCACATTTGCGAGAAAGTTTACAAAAGTCACCTCAACCTAAATAGACATCTGCATTTTCAACACTCACAAGTCGAAAGGCATCGCTGCGTCTTTTGCCCGATGACGTTTAAGTCCCGTCACCATATGAAGCGTCATATTTTGAACATCCATCCACCTTTAGAATCGAAAGTGCAATGTCCTGAGTGTTTAAAAGAGTTTAAAAACGACCAGTATCTCAAGGAGCACATGCAGGTCCACACTTCTTTAGAAAAGAAGGTGAAGTGCGATTTGTGCGATAAATACTTCCATTCGGCGGTGCGTTTGAAGAAGCATAAGAAGATAGTACACCCGGACAAGCCAAAAATACGTTGCGAAAAGTGCGATAAAGAATTTGCGCACGCGCATTACCTGAGACGTCATAACAATTCCGTTCACGTGGAGGTCGACGAGACGAAGTACGAACATGAGTGTGGGCAGTGCGGGAAGAAATTTAAAATTAAGAGATATTTAAACAACCACCTGCAAAGGCACGAGCAGCAGCACCTGAAGCGGATTTCGCAGATGGTGAAAACGGTGATGGGTGATGAGGTGCAGGAGGTGAAAGTGCCAAAGAAACGGGGCAGGCCGCGAAAGGCGAGGAAGGAGATCGAGTTCATCAAATGCGAACCAATGTCCAGCTCCGAATCGGAGTCTGATGAAACTGAATCCGAGGAATCTGAGTGAACTAAAAATTTAATTGTATCGTTATCTTAAAGTGTTAGCAGGAGTGACAAAATTGTATTAAGGTGCATCAAAGAAAATTTAAGCTCTGTTTGAAGAGCTTTAGTTTTCAAGCGAAAAACTTTGTTCTTAAATCAAGTTTCTACTTTATTTAACGAAGGACAGAACTCTGTCTACTATTCTAAAATTTGTTTGGCGTGAGTTGATAAACATTATGAAAACGTCTCGCCATAGCGACAGTCGCTTAAGTATTGTAGTGACGGGCTTTACAAATTGCGATACTTAAAAGATAAATAACGTTTTTATATGTGGTAAAGCCGTGCTGCGCGGCTATATTATGGTTTTAGCACGATGGGTCGGCTTCGATTGCGTAAGGACTAGTCTCTCACAGAATACCAGCGTAAAATAGCAACTCAATGCTGCTGTGTATCGTATGGTGTGTATTAGAAAGCACACGTTTTACTAGAAACGAGGCATTCCATATTAGTCCTCAGAGGTGGCAACGCAATTGCATTTTGATTCTTAATCGAGGATAGGTATAGATGTCAATGGGGTCACAGCATACACTCACGACCATGTGAACCGTGTGTTCGTTTGTCAACCTTATTCTATAAAAAAAAAAACGTTTTGTGGTACGAGGCAGATGTCGTCAAGCGCGATGCCGGGCAGGCGCGCAACGAAAATTTATCTGGATTTTTTTATATTTAATTGGAGAAAATAGCTTCACAAATAACCTTATATTTTAAATAATGGTTATTAAATTTTCGCGAATATTACCTAATTAAATTAAACTACTAAAAATAAAACTGCCATAAATCTGTTAAGTACCCGAAACGTCGGGAAAAACTACGGGATAAAATCACCAAAGTTATTGTAAAGATAAAAATAATTATTGTGCGGTCAACCTTAGGACATAGAAATATGACATCGCTAGTTTTAAAGCTTTTGAAAGAACTAATATTATTTTGATGTGTCTGTCAAGGCTTAGCCAGCGTTAGCCATTATTTATACAAAAAAAAAAAAATGATTACAAAACAGAATTATCTCTACTATATAAAAATTTTGTAAGAATGTTTTGTACACACTGACCATCATTAAAAATATCTAAATGATAGGGAAAACTGAAACAAAATCCGTTTTGCGATTTAAAAGTAGTTAGCGGAGAAACAGAAATGATGAGGACAGGCGCGGATAGCGAATTTGTTTTGTGCTATTTAGAGATTTCGTGATTTATGTGTACCGTGTATGGGTATAAAGTTCTAACATAATTAGCAGGCCGCATTTTGTTAAGAGTTTAGAAATCCTGTTTTATCAACTCTCGCCCAACAAACACACTTTACAACTATTATAACCTATCCCATCAATCTCTAGCTGAATTAGAATCAAAACTTTGTCACAAATTTTAATTGTTAAAGTTGGTTAAGTTGCCAGATTGCTTTAGTATATTTATACTCTTCTACTTCGCCGTGTAGTGGCGGCGTAAGATTATACCCCGTATATATAATATATAAGATTATACCCAGGAGATGGGCGGCAGCGTCGTTTTTGTTATAGAATAAAAGTGACACAGTCTTTAACATTATTTTATACACGGTACGGCCACGTTGTATCTATTTTATGGCTACCACACGAGTCGTCTCGACCTGGGAAGGACCACGTTCTCACTTAATACCGACGTAAAACAGCAGCGTAATGCTGCTGTGTCTCGTATGGTGAGTGTACAGAACCGGAGACCCTTTTTACTGGAAACGAGGCATTCCATCTTAGTCCTCACGGATGACAACGCATCTGCATTTTGATTCGTAATCGAGGATAGATGTAGATGCCTATAGACCAAAGCAACCACTTACCATCAGGTGGACTGTGTGCTCGTTTGTCACCCTATCCTATAAAAAAAATGATATGGGGTAGTTAATTCTCTTACGCGGCCCCTACACGGAAATTCCAATTATGTTACTGTTTTCAAATATTTTTGTGATAATATTTTGACAGTATTTTGTCAATTTTAAAAGGTTAAGCATAATAATTTTATAGACATAATTTATGTGCATTGTAGCATGGACGAATAAGCAAGAGGACTGATGAACCGCAGAAAGGTCTACATAATACCTAATCAAAACTAGATGGCGTTGATTTATCTTTATATATATATATACATATATATATAGCGATCCTCCCCACCTTTGCACGGGTGATTTCTACACCTCGACAACAGCGCCATCTACTGGGTCTAATTGTGAATCTAAATCATTCTCGAATCAAATCACACACAAAATTTCATCAAAATCCGCCCAACTGTTTAGGAGGATTTCAGTCACATACACACGGACAGAAGAATTTTATTATATAAAATTATATATATATATATATATATATATAAATATAAATATATATATATATATATATATATATATACATATATAAAATTATATATATATATATATATATATATATATAATTTTATATAATAAAATTCTTCTGTCCGTGTGTGTGTGACTGAAATCCTCCTAAACAGCTGGGCGGATTTTGTATATATATATGTATATATATATATATATATATAAAGATTATTCTGTATATATATACTGAAATAAATGGTGTGACCGACTTGATGAAATTTTTGTGTATGTTTGAGTGCGCCCCTAGTAGTTTAGATTCGGCATTGGATGCGATGGCTGGCACTGTTGTCGAAATCCAAAATTCACCCGTGTGAAACTGGGGCGGGTCACCAGTTTTCCATAAAATGAGATAATTGCCAATATATACCACGAAATTTCCCAATATTTCGTATCATTTTTTAAATAAATGATTTTCCAAGCTAATGGTAATGGGTAAATATCATACTAGATATTTTAGTATGCTACCTTTTCTGACGTTTAAAAGTCATCTTGTTTAGTTATCCATAATAGTAGTGATATCAAAGGGGCAATTGTAACTAATAAATTAAATTTAAGCGTTTTTAAATACAAAATTTTTAAAATAGCTTAGAATAAATAATTAGTTATTAGCGCCGAGTATTTGTCTTACTTGTAGATTTATTTTTATTATAAGAGAATTACTGTTTCAACTATAAATTATGAATTGGAATCTTAAGCGTCGATTATACGAGTATTACCCGAGAAATGGGGACATGGGACGGGGAGTATTGAGACTTATACCAAAAAATATTTTTGCTTTTAAATTACCAGAAAATTGATATTGCATTGCTGTAATAGCAGCCACTAGCAGTGTTGTGAAAAACTATTGTGTAATTGCTATTTATTATGGCAAATTAAAAAAAAACCTTTTCTTGAAATCTTCATCGCATTCAATATGACCACGTCGTAATCGCTTCGATGCCTCTCAATCCTCTAAGAAATCCTCTAAGAGCCCTGACTACAGTGCCACCTACTTATCTGTTCAGATGGACAAAATTGGAACTAAGGGCGCCATTTTATAAATAATATTTCGTTGTAAGCTATTATTTATTCTGTGCTGTGAGGAGATTGCTTTGTGTTCAATTTCATTGTGAAAAGTGCATATATATATATATATATATATATATATATATATATATATATATATATATATATATAGTCACAGTCGATAAATTTCGTAAGTGGCAGTAAGCTGTCCGCTAGCGACTCTGTCAACTGAACAGTAAAGTTGGTGGCACTATACGTTTAAATTGACTAACCCGTTCCTAACTAATGCAATTACATAATATAGAGCGGTCAGTATTTCCCGATCATTCTAAAATATGTGAATTGTGATTTTTGTACTCAAAGTTGGACCGAAAAGGATTTCCTCTTTCATTTTTTAAAATTTATCTTGCCCAGCCATTACTCATCAATATTATAATTGTTCATATTGTAAATATTTGAGAATAATTTTACGATTGTTTCAAAGAGGATACGTTTTCCAACCCTTTGCTCATGTAAAGTCTAGTTTATGGAGTGTAGAGATAAGGAGAACAAACTCTGTATAAAAAAGTGTTCGTAAAAAAGCGCTAAATAATGGCGCCACTGTAGCTAGTGCAAATTTTAAAGAAATTTTTTATATTTTTTTATTGCACGACTTTCACCATAATTCTTTTTATAATAATTATTTTATTGTTTTCGAAATTTTTATTTTCAAAATCACTCAACGTGTTTTACGGTGGTTTTTCATACCATCTAGCTACTCGAGCGCTGTTGTAGAGAGTTTGAACTGTTATTTACTGCTTACAGATGTAAACATTTTTAACTATTCTATGGGAGATTGTCCTCCTTACCTCTATACTCCATGGTCCAGCTGTTAGAAATTCTCTTGCGAGGAGTTTTGGCGGGAACTTGGCCGTAGGCGGATTGTCGCTCCTGTTTTGTAGCTTGAATAATGGTTTGAAGTGGATTTTGATTCATAAAAGTGATGCGATTTTGTGAATTAAGTGTCCGCGCGTGTGAACTATTAGAGAAAACGACGAAACAAGTGCTTTGATGTCGATAAACCTCAAGTTATTTTGATCGCTCGGGCGCCTGATGAACTTGAGTGGCTGTCGTCATCAACTGTTCGCTGGGTTGAGCTGTCGTCAAAATCTCCCAAGGGCTTCGCAATGTGATGCATCAGCATATTGTGAAGAAAAAGAACATAAAATGAAGATTCCCAAAGAAAGGATAGGCTCAGAAGGTCTAGAAACCAGAGCCGTAAAGCCAGTTAATAAAGAAAAGTAAAATTCTCTTGCATTTGACATATTTTTACAGATTAATAAAGAAAAAAATATTGTCTCTGGTCAGAGTATATTATGATGATGGCGCCATACTGAGCTTAGTTCGGAAGTGATTAATTCCTAATTTTGCATTGCTAAAGACAATGCATCTGCATTCTGGCAAAAGACAAAAAAAATCTTTCGTTGATATTTGTTTTTTTATTCTCTTGTATTTAGGCATAGACATAGGTTTTATTAGCATCAATACAGTCACAAAATATACATTTAGAAGCAATTAAGAACATAAAAACAACAAGATGGAAAACACATTTAAAAATAA